TTTTTGGTGTTATTATCTATTTATGAGTTAAGAAATCATGATTTATGATAGTTTTCAGTTTGTTTCAAATATGATTTATGACTTGGAAAGGGGGGAAATTTGAATTGGATTTGGAATTGGAATTTGAATTTGAATTAGGGTTCAGGGTTCGAAATTGGGGAAAAATAAAATTAGATTAGGATTTGAATTTGAATTTGGAATTGGATTTAGGGTTTGGAATTGGAATTGAATTTGGAATTGAATTTAAGGTTTAGAATTGGGGGAATTGGAAATTTGGATTTGAAATTTGCTTTATGAATGTTGGCACTTTTCAGTCCTAGAGGAAGCTTTGTGCTGTTACGACAATTTGGTGGGCCCTAAATTAAAAGTCTTTAAACGTAATGGTCATCTCGATAGCAATCCATAGAACACAACTGTCAATATTGGTGTGCATGCTGAAATTAGAGCATGTTTGGCTAAGATGAAGAGATTCACTTAAAAGTAAATAAGTAAAACTTTAAAATCAAATAATACTTTTATTGGTGAAATTCGAACATAATACTTGTCTTGAACGTAGGTAAAAATTAATTTTAAAATAAGTAGCATATGTTTGGTAAGTGGATAGTACATGGACGTCGCACATAATATGTAGATTGACTTTTAGCAAGTATAAGTACTTGCCAAACGTACTCTATAATTTATTTTGTATTAAAATTTTAGTAAACAAAACATATTCTTAGTTTAGAAGGCACGGCACAAACCTTCAAGAATATGTATATTTTCATCCTTTTTATCTATTTCTATTCTCACGTTGCTATCTTTATATATATTATAAATAAGACTAGAATTACGTTTAAGTCGTCTCCAAAATCGCCTAGTTGAAAAAGATTGAAAATGAAGGCTTGATTTTCTCAAATCCTTCTTATTTACTTTAATTAGCATCATAAAAAATATTGTCCATTTATTTGATTAGTCATTACCAAATAATTGAAGTCATAACAACGTTGTATTAGCAGTCACTCTTTGATATAGGAAATGACAATTGATTGAGCCGAGCCGACTCGATCCTTAGATAATCGAGCTCAGCTTGTGTCCACAAACAAGGCGTTGTTCGACCCTTTGGCTCGTGCCCCTCATGGATCAAATCGAACCATCCACGAGCCCACAAGTCAGCTCCTTTTCGAAAAGAAATTAATAAAACAAACCAAAAAATGAGTTGGCCCATGAGTCGACTCGTAAAAAAATTTAAGATTGGCTCGTCTATTGTTTGTCTCAAAATAAGCTTGAGCCACTCATGGCGTGAGTCGGGATGAATCGAGGGTGCAAAAGTCTATGCTCGTTTGTTATCCCTACTTCGATTGTCTAGGATATAACAAAAAGTTTACTAGAAAAGGCAGAAAGAAATAGTTTTCGAGTACAAATCAAACTGATACCAAACTAGCGAATACATGTGTGAATAAGCCACCCATTTCTAGCCACATTTTTTCTATCTTAATTAAGCTAAACTAACCATCCTTTAGGAATGTAAATACAAATAAACATGGTTTGTGATTCCTAAGATTGACCAATATTGATTGTTTTTCAATAATGGGAGATCACGTATAAGTTTGGGTCATGTCATGATCAGTCTAGACCATGTTTCAATCTCAATAATATTGTTCGACATTGTATATTAATTTATGATCTCTTTAGGGCAAAAAAAAAATTTTTATTTCTTCAATGAATTTTTAGTTTTAGACAAGTTTGTTTATTATAGTACTATAACAAGTAGAGGTTAGTTTGAATCTTGCTGTCATAATTTTTTAGACGAGTTTGTTTACCTTAATATTAAGATAACTAGAAGTTAGTTCAAGAATTATTGTACTTCAAGAATCCTTGAACAATATTTAGGTATTCCTCTAAAGTTCAATGTAATTATACAATACACCAATAAATATTGAGCTCGAATGCATTTTATTTATTTTGAACCGCAACTAGAGGTGTCAAACTCATGGGGCCAGGATCCTTTTGTAGATATTTTATACGACTCCTAGTATTTGATATATGCTACTTGACTTTGACGAGTCATTTGTATATTGTTTAAGTACCTAAAACTTAGGGGACTATTGTTCAAGAATTCTAGAAGTAAAATAGTTCCTTTCTCATTACAATTTAAACTTTAGAGGGTCTTTGGTGGAGATTAAAATTTGATTTTTAGTAGATTGTGATACAAGTTTTTGAAATGTGTGATTGAAAAGTTGTGGGGCTCATGAACTGATGAAAGACGTGGTTAATATTAATTGTTTGACTTTAATTTTGATTAAAATCAAATTTTAATCTGGATGAAACAGGGGTTAGTCCAACCAAAGTCCTTTTAAATCAATTAAGAGCTTCTAATGAAATCTTATCCTTAATAATTCATTTCTCATTGTCTAACTAAAGTCATTTTTAAATAATTAAATAGCCTCTAATCAAATCATTGTCCAAAATAAAATAAAAAAAAATCCCCTTTTTCCTCATATTTAATTAAGTAATTCAATTCATTTCTTTCAAGAATCAATTGTATTATGCAGTGGCGAGTGACACAACACCAAATGCCCATAAAAGTCACCAAAGGCTGTGGAAGTGGCAGCAAGGTCCCTATATCTAAAAACCACGTGTTGTTGTCCAAACTGTCCTTCGTTCAATAATTTGTTTCTCTCTATTTCTCCATTCAATTCTCAAATTCTATATCTTTTCATCGAGGTAAAACCCTGTTTTTTTGTTAATAGAATTTGTGTTTTTATTTTTCTTGTTCTTATGGGTATCTATTTGTCTGAATTATTTTTTTCGGGGGATTTAATTTGGTCGGTTCTCCTTGAAATTCTTTATGATTTATTATCTGGGCTCGCTTTGTTTTCTCAGATGCTTTGTGATTTTTTTTTTGGTGGATAAAGAATTAAAGATCGTGCCAAGAAAGTAAAATTTCGGAATTTTTATTTATGGATCGTTGTCAATGATTTATGATTGGAAATTTCCTGTTTATGGGGTCGGTTTAATTTTATTTATTTATTTATTTTGGTCTAACTGGGAATTTATTTTGGCTCAATTTTGATTGTATGAATTGCAATTCAATTTGATTTTCTAATTTTAATATGGAAAAAATTTAAATCATATATGTTTTGAGTTATTAGAGATAATGGGTTCTGGTATTTTGTAGTTTTGATATTTGAAGGTTTTTATTTTTTCTTTTGAATTGTTCATAAAAAGTTGAATTTTTAATTAGGATTTTAATTATTGAAGTCTCTCCTACTTGATTATATAAGTCCGAGAAATGTTATGTCCATGAGAAGTGGTTTGTGAATTTTTGGCTGATGATCGTCAATTGATCACTCTGTTTTATGCATGTTTCGGAATAGGAATTCAGTAGTTCATTCTTTCTGCAAATAGCTTGCTGTGTTCATTTATCATTAATAAGCTCTTTTGAGCGACGAGTTTGAGCTCTTGTCGCCATTTTCCTGGCTATTCTATTTTCATCTCATCTTCCTCGGAAATTGTTTTTGATCAAGTGATATTGTATTTGGTAATTTATTATTTGATTGAGTGCTCGTAGAATGTGAAATTATAGTAACGAATCATTACGTTATTGTTTTCCTCGTTCTTGTTTCCTTTTTTCTGATCTTATACTTGTTGGATATCTCCTTTAGCAAGACGATGGATTTGGAATGCATGCAATAGAAGATTGAACGAGTCATAGATACTAATTTTTCTTATAGATAGGAAGGTAAAGAAGAAGAAACCCAAATGGGAGCTAGATTGAGCTTAAATAGTGGAAAGGCAAGCACAAGTGGACACTTCGAGGTCTCACAGATTGAAGCATGTAAGCGACAAAAGACATCATCGAGCTTTTGGGATGAGAATCCGCGGCTATTTCCTAGCCTTCCAGATGAAATATCCATTCAAATCCTCGCCCGACTCCCGAGAATTTGGCATTTTAATGCAAAGCAGGTCTCCAGGAGCTGGAAAGCTGCTATTATGGGCGGAGAACTTTATAGGTTAAGAAAAGAACTTGGAACAACGGAGGAGTGGCTCTACATTTTGACGAGAATCGACAGCGATAAGCTTGTGTGGTATGCCTTCGACCCCGTGTCCCGGATATGGCAAAGATTGCCTCCAATGCCTAATGTTGCTGCTGAAGATGGTTCTAGGAGGTCTGGATTTCGGGTGTGGAACATTGTCGGTTCAAGTGCTAGAATTGCAGATGCCATAAGAGTCTGGCTTGGCAGGAAGGATGTGTGGGACCAAATTCCGTTTTGTGGTTGTGCCATCTGTGCTGTCAATGGCTGCCTTTATGTCCTGGGTGGTTTTTGCAGGGCTTCAGCCATGAGGTCTGTCTGGCGTTATGATCCAAGTGTTAATTCTTGGAGTGAAGTGACGCCCATGTCTACTGGTCGAGCTTACTGTAAGACAGGTGTCTTAAACAACAAGCTTTATGTTGTCGGAGGTGTCACCCGTGGTCGTGCTGGACTCACCCCTCTTCAATGTGCAGAAGTATTTGATCCTTGTTCCGGTATATGGACCGAAATCCCTAGCATGCCATTTTCAAAAGCTCAGGGGCTACCAACTGCTTTTCTATCTGATTTGCTGAAGCCTATTGCAACCGGAATGACATCATATAGGGGGAAACTATATGTTCCTCAAAGTTTATATTGCTGGCCATTTTTCGTCGATGTTGGAGGGGAGGTATATGATCCGGAATCAAATTCGTGGGTTGAAATGCCTACTGGCATGGGAGAGGGTTGGCCGGCCAGGCAGGCAGGGACGAAGTTGAGTGTCATCGTTGAGGAAGAGTTATATGCACTGGATCCCTCGAGCTCTCTTGATAGTGCTCGGATCAAAGTGTATGATCATCAAGATGATTCTTGGAAAGCAATTGAAGGAGATGTACCCGTCCGTGACCTTGCTGATTCAGAGTCTCCATATTTACTTGCCGGTTTCCTTGGAAAGCTTCACGTGATCGCTAAAGATGTGAATCATAACATCTCAGTCATGCAGGCTGATAGGCAAAACCAATTTGATTCGACCCCATCTACCTCTTCGTCTTCTGTAGGTGAATCCTCGCAAGAGCTTTCTGAAGCAGCGACTAGAACTCCCGAAAGTATTTGGAAAGTCATTGCCACAAGGCGTGCTGGACTGGCCGAGCTAGTCAGCTGTCAAATTCTCGATATCTAGTGAGATTAAGCATCGCCGTTCTTGATATCTGATGTTTCCTCGTGCTATAAATCATTTAAAATGATAGTTCCGGCAAATTGCATCTAAAGTTTCACTTCCTGTGAGATTAGTGAACACTACATATTTCTGAACATGTTATGCTAAATATTTGAAATATATTATATGGGGCCTGTTTACACATCTGGTAGGGCACATTTGCTTGATTTTGCCGGGTGTCGAATTTCATCCGGACGATGATTATTTTGAACTTTAATGAAGAATTTGGCTGCACCTTGGATAACAACAGCATTGTGTAAATTACATACTGTTGAAAATTATGTATACAAATTATTCTCTCAATTAGTGTGTTTAGTTGATCTAGTAAAATTATTATTTAACAGTATTTATTGTAAACTAAATTTCATGGAGTCATGTCCGATAGATTTCAAATACTAGTGCTTCCACTTAAAAAGTCTTAGCTTCTGTTGCCAAGAAAGTACTAGCTCGTATGAAGTACACACAACTCACAGTGATAAGCTATAGACGAATTCGCTGGATTATTGTCTTCTATTCTCGAGAGAGTGATCAAGATTAAGATGCATTAAAAATTGAAAAAATATATATATAGTTATTTAAAAGGTGACAAGGCAATTAGTTTGAGTTAGATCTATCAATTGCCCCAAACTTCATCTTTAAAATATAGAATTAGATTGGGAGGCTTGATAGGAAAGTGCGACTTTTATTAATAATTGTGGAAAAGACGCATTTTAGCAACTTGTAACGAGGCTAATATAATAGTTGGATAAAGAGACTGTTCTTTTTCAGTTAACGACACTTTTGGTTTTCAAGCAACTGACCATCACACTTCTTTCTCTTCTCGGATCTAAGGATTCTAGTCTCTTTATACCATTTAGTAAAAACATTTTAATTTTGACATTCTGGGTTCTATATGGAAGAAGCAAAATGCCTTAATCTTTCAAAATAAAAAGCTATTGTTATTTATCGACTACGGAGAAAATAATATGTGTATATATATATATATACACACTAGGTGCAAGCAACGTGCAATGCACGTTTGCGTAGTTTATATTTAATAGTTTTGTTTAAGAATTAATTTGTTATTAATAAAGATGTAATTTTTTTGGTTAATTAAATAATTAATGATGTAATGTTTATGTAATTGATAAATAATTAGATGTGTGATTTTGATGTTGTGATGTAAGTTGGTGAGATCGAAGAAAATAAGCAAAAGTTGACAAATTTGGAGAAATTGCTAAATTGTAAGGGATCCAAAGTTCGGGGACTAAAATGTAAATACTTAAAAGTTGTGCCGAACCTCACGATGAAGATTTGAGAGTGCTCGGAGTCAATTGGATAAAGGAAGACGTCAATGGAATCAAATTTAGTCAAAAGATGATCACAAATCAATTTCCAACCGAAAAGTTATGCTCCGATATTTTAGTCTCATATTGAGACCTATTTTTGGCATAGAAAGTGATCGAATTGGAGAATGATGTCTGAATCAAAGTTGTAGCCAGATGAGTTAGCTTTTCAACGCATTTTGAATCGCTTCAATCGGATATCGGAATACAAAGTTATGATAAAAACACTGAAAAAAGGTGCAGCTGCCTGTTTAAAACAAGAAATTCCGTTACATAGCCCGTTAAAACAACAAATTCCGTTAATTTTTCCGTTAAAAAAAAAAGAAATTCCGTTACGTAGCCACTTTTAATATATAGAAGATATTGTAGGTTTCTTGTACAAATAATCCACAATTTTATGTTTCCTATAACCTTGTAATATTCATCCAAAACTATTAAATAAACACATTTATTTCTATGGGAAAACGTTATGAAACAAAAGTTAGGTCACACATGTAACGAATTAAATGTTACGAAGAAAAAGACCTTATCTCACGGCAGGGGCGGAGCCAGCCTGCCGAAGTAAAGGGGGGTCCCAGAGTTGAAGAGGTGGCTCCCGAATTTTTTTTTTGAAACATATCTGTTAAAATGGGAGAAGTTGCTACTTTATAATGGAGAAAGGAAATTAAGGAATATAAATTAATATACTGCCCCCAAATTTTTTTATAAACATTATCTGTTAAAATGAGAGAAGTTGGTACTTTATGATGGAGAAAAGAAACAAATAAACATAAATTAATGTATATTATCCTAATACTAATGCTTAATCAATAGAGAGAATTGTAGGAACAATAGATGGAAACAATGAAACATATGCAAATCACAAGAGAAGGAAGAAGGGTGGTGTTCAAGAGTCTATTCTGCCACAATTACCCAGCCAGGTTATTGTTCCATAAATACAAAAAAAAAAATTGTCAAAAAATTGGGAGGGTTCGGGTCCCCCCCAGGACCCCCCGCCTCCGCCCTGTCTCACGGGTTAATAAAAATTTCGTAGTAAAGCTAGACTCGAACAAAGGTGAAATGTTGAATGCGTAGAATACAACTTAATCATGAATCTTAAATCCTTCATGATTGTGTTATACAGCTACAAGCTTTTATCTCCCAACTCTACAATGAAACTATATGTTTAGATATACTCACAAGTCATAAATGATGGGTATCATGTAAAACAAACTTAGGCCATGTTTGATAATGCATTATTTTTCATGAAAAATGGAAAACAAATTCCAATTTCCATTGTTGCATTGTTTGATACACTTTATTTTCCATGAATTTTTTTTTCACATTTGGCTCACATGTTCACCAATTCCTTGGTTTTGTGGAAAAACAATTCTCACCATTTCCATCTTTTTTTTTTTTATTCAAGCAATTGGAAAATTTTTTAGATACAGTATTAAAAATATTTATCACTTTTATTGACAAGTTTCATACAAAATAAAGCCAAACGAATGACATTCGTATGGTAATTTTAAAAAAAAATTAATTTTTTTGGCTAGTGAAACAAATTCTAAACCCAATAGTAAAGGAAATTATCACTTTAATGGAAAATTTTCATTAAAAAGAAAGTCAAACGGACACCAAACTTTCAACATTTTTCAAGTGAAAAAATATACCAATCAAACACAATTAATTACAATTCCCAATAAAACAATTTCTAGGCAATTCAATTCCCTAAAATTCATTTTCTTTTCACCAATTTTCCACATTTACTGTTGGAAAATGATTTTAATACTAGTGAAATGGGTCAACTTTGAGCCCAAATTTCAGTGGTATCTGTGCCTTAATTTCAACGGGACCTAACATATTCATGTTCTACTCCGCAAGATGATTAACGTGATATATTTATTTGTCGAAAACCATTTAGTATTGAATGAAATATTTAATGTCAAAGTAACCCGTTTGAAATACGAATTTGATTTATTAGAAAATTCTCATACACTTGTCCCACATAAGAAAGTTGTAAAATTTTGATATGGTTTATATAGTGTAAGGCTGGGAATTGGGTTCGGGCCCGAAGGGGTACCAATAGTCTTTAGAAGGGAGGAGACCTGTATCTTATAGGATTCGGTCCAAACCCCACACGAGCTCGTCGCCGCAGCCGCGCCGTTCGTCCGACCGGCCTACCGGCTCGGCTCGACACGGCACATGCCCGTGCTCAAGCCCGGTCCGATCCGTCCAGTCTGTATGTGGGTGCGTCCTTGTACTATATTATCTTTTTGGACAAAATTTATTTAATTTTTGATCAAATTGTAATTAATCAAATTCTTGGGTACTTAATGAAATTAACTTTTATTAATGGGCTTATTTTTCGAGTAATTATTTCGGGAGGTCTATTAACCAACCGTTTGGTCCGTGAACCGACTTATTACTGAACCTTATTGTCTGTTCAATTTTGGGTTTGTCTGAACAGTGGCGACTGTTCTGAAGTGGCTTGAAGGGTGTTCGAATGGCCACGAACAATTCTATAAATAGTCAGTCCCGTTGCCAAAATCATTACACCATTTTCGTTGCTATTATTCTCTGCATTGAATCTCATTCTCCCTCTTTCTCTCGTTCTGATATTATTTCCGAAATAAATACACTTCATTGAGTTCGCTGGAACTCCTGCAGATTGTTGTGCTGCTTCCGTAGGAGACGAAATTCGTTCTATCTTGGAAAACGATTGCTGGACGCTTTAAGCACCTTTTAAAGGCAGCAAATTCGTTTTAAGATAATTCTATCAAATTGTTTGAAAGAAGATACTCCAAAAATAACATTCACAATCAAACGGACCCTTACAAATTATCTTCTAGTTCAATATAGGGGTGACAAGTCAAGTCGCTCAGCTTGTTCCCTAAAAGTTGGGCACCGCTTAGCTTGTAGGCCTTTTTAAAGGAAAAAGTCAAAGAGGGCCAGAGAATTGGTTATTTATTTTCTTCTTCAATTTTTTTAGTATTTTATAGGGGTGTACTTAAGGGTGGCAACAAGATGAGACGAACCGAGCCATGAGCCAAAATTTGAAGCTACGGCTCAATTCGAGCAAAATGGGTTCAGACTTTTTTTTGCCCGAGCAGAGCAAAAGTTGGTGAAAAAAAAATTAAGAAACGGCCCTGTCGATTTTTTACTTTTTTATATAATATGTGCTGCCTTCAAATAGTAACTGCCACTTTCCCACCTTTCATTTCAAAAGATTTTTTTTTTCTTACACCAATCACAGGGGCCTACGGGGGCTGGCTCAACCCTGATCCCCAAGCCCGAGGCTCAGCTCGGTATACCGAGCCTCAGGCCAAGATGGACTTGGCTTTTTCGGGCCTAGCTACTAGCAGCCCGAGCCTGCAAGCCAAAATATCATCCCCAGATGTACTCAATTCAAATTTTAATAAATTTATTAATGTTTATGTTTTTTTTTGATATATAGATTTCGTATATTTGAATAGATTTACACATATTCTATGAAATTTTAACAGGATTCTATATTATTATTTTTAACGGATTTCCTAAAATTTTCTGTATAGTATAGAAAATTCAAAACTGCCAACTGAACTAACTAATTTCATCAGTTTGAAATATCAAACAAAATAAAACTCAGTTCAATTTGAAAAGTTGAAAAATTTTACGATC